AGCTATAAAAGACCAGAGTGACATTTACACGTAAGTTCTCTCATCACCGTCATTGAAGAAAGGATTAAATTCAGTGTGATGCCATGGCATATGCTGAGTGATGTTCTGTTCTTGGCTCTAGCTTCCACCAGCTCAACTCCATGTATTCATCTTGGGTTTGAGAACTGGTGTAAAAAGAAAACTTGATCGTCACAGATGAGAAAGCAATACTGGTGTCACTGAAATCTATGGGATTCTTGCCATAAAGTTTGGCTAATCAAGATTTTCACCTTGAGGTTACTATCTGATTGCAGGAGCGTAGAGATGTTTATGTCTGTATTGTTCTGATTTCCCGCCCCTCTCCAGCCTCTTCCCTGCAGGGAACTTATTGCATCCCTGTGTAACAGGCACTAGAATCACAGCCACTAACCAGTGCAAGAAATATCTTTGAGATTATATTCCATCTGATTTCAGGGACCTGATAAAATCTCCTGATACAAATATACCAGACATTGAGCTGATAGTACAGCTGTTCTTGTCTCTAATTCAGCAGAATTTGGGCATGGGGGCTAAAAGAGGAAGAGAGGCTTTTCTGAGTGCAAAGATGCATACTTGTTCAGAGCAATTCAATCTTATTCAAAACCAGATCTCATGCCTGTCCCAACATAAAATTCATCTGGGTGATATAATAGTTTGTTGCCTGATGCAGTCATAGAGCACTCAAGTAATAATCTGTAAAACTGGGAGAGATTTTTTCTTTGTTTCCCCACAAAAAAATAAATGGGAGGAAGTTTTAGTTTATTTTCATGTATATATTATGGCATATACTGTAATATTTATAGTCTGTTGTACTCTAAATATAACTTGTTAAAATGTTATAAATATTTATATAAATATGAAACTCCCAGAGTGATTTGAGTTGTGAGAAAAGCGACCTCCAAAATAACAGTTCTAATTATCTTTTTTTTTTTTTTTTTTCCTTTGAACAAATTGAAATAATCCTGGTAATTTTTGCTAGCAATTTTGGAGAAAGAAAAGTGGGGTAAAACTAAGACAACCCTGAAATCCATGTCATGATTAAGAAGTATTAGAAAAACAGCAAGATCTTGAGCTGAGGAATGTTTGGAAAGCTGATATTCTTTTTCATTCACGATCTGAAATTCTTGAAGCCTGTTTTTGGCAGACCACAAATATATTGTGGTTAATGTTGATACAGAGAAAGACACCAAGTAATTCATTGCGCCATAATGTCAGGTTTTAGGATCAGAACAAGCTGTTTCCAGAAAACAGTATTTCCAGTTCAGTGATAGCTTATTTGAGGTGTTAGCTTTATATGATATACAGTGGGATGGCTTTAAACTAAATGTGTCAGTTAAGTGCGTAACCACGAGCAATAGCACAGGGAACACTATACTTGTATCTGTGGGGCAATATTTTCCATTGTTTCCATTTCCTTCTAAACATCAAATGTGAGAGTGCATGTTCTTCTGGCTTCCTGTAGGATCAAAAGGGAATTTGCTTTATTTATTTGATCAGAGGCGAAGCAGACTGTGCTCTGTGAAACAGTGTCTCATTCATCTGTCCCAAAGGCAATCATGAATGGAAATGACAGTGATCAGGTGGAAATCTGCTTTTAACTGATGTCGGTTGACGTGTCAGTTTGATCAAATAATAATAATAATAAATCATCTAGGGCCTAAGATTGATGAGTATCTGCATTTCATGTTGGCTTGAGTGGGAACTCCAGGCTGGTGGGGATTTTTTTAAGACTGCACTTCAAAAAGGTGTGAAGAGGACTAGGTCCTAAGGAACACTGTCACTGAGGTTGGCAGAAGTTTTGCTTTTTGGTGACAGCAGATCTGAGTGATGAGTCCTCCATCTGGCCCCATGTGCTGCTGAGTGTCCCCAGGCCCCAGTGCGGTCAGTGACACACTTCCCAAAAACCTGAACATCCACAGGATTTGGTCCTGGGTTATAATTTCATTCTAGATTTATTTGACACTAAAACAAAACAGCTGTTTGCAATTAACACACATAAAAAGAACAATAACAAAAATGCAGCCTTCCCTTCCAGCTCTACATATACCCAGTGCAAAGATCTTGCAAAGTTCTGCTCATTTTTTTCCCCGTGCTCCAACTAAAACATCAAAATCAATTGATCTCACTGAAGACTGAATGAAAAAAAAAAATTATGGTTCCCCAAATGTTTCTGATTGGCAGCAGCAACTCGGTAATGAAAGATAAATGCTGCCCTGGGTGCATGTGCATGCTGGGCTGTCTCTGCTGCAGATCTGATCTAAGCACAAAGCTACAGGGACACGAGGGCCAGGCAATGGCTGCTGCTGTGCTGGGACAGGGTGAGGTAGATAGCTGGTTTCTGACCAGGACTCTGATCCAGGGCAGCTGGCCCACCCTCCCATTGGGAACAGTGAACAAGGAGCTTGTAAAATACACAGACCAAATGGAAATGACCCCCATTGACTGAAACCAGCTGCACATCAGACCTCTCACAGTCTCTCTTGATTTGCTATCTTAAATAAATGGATGTGGTAGAAGAGGCTGTGGAAAGAAAACAAAATAATTTATCCTCCTTGAAGTTGCGCCACACTAGTAAGCCACAGTTTTTACAGCTGAAAAAAACCGATTCTTCACATATTGAGTTTTCTTTTTTTTTTGCTTTAAAAGTCTGCAACTTAGAATGCACCATGCTGCACGTCAGTTTCAGAGCTTTTTGACAAATATAGCATTGGCAGATTTTGTTAGGTGTTCATCCTTTGAAAAATGCTGGCTAACACTAGTCTGGTTTTGCACCACAATTCAGAAAAGAAGTTACGATAGCTTTCGCTGATGCTTTGCCTTAAGAGCTGAGTGCTGCTTCACAATAAAGGTCTTGATCAGTTCTGAAGAAGAATGATGTGCAGAGTGACTTAGCTGGTTCATTTGTTGTTTGCCATATTTTTCTGAATACATTCCTGAGTAACACCTGATATCTGGAGCACTGTGAAGAGCTGTTTAGAATAACCAGTGTAGCACCTGAACTCAGAAGTATGAAGGATGAGTGCTACGCAAGTCTTCCTTTATATCTAGGACAGGTTACTGCTGTGGGTGTTAGACTGAGCTCAGTTTGGACATACAGAATAAGTGCTCAGAAGTAGGGTAAGAGATACTTAACTTTGCTGTCATAATTGCATCAATTTGAGAAGATTGTCAGGTGCCATAATAAAAGTATAGCAATAATTTGATAGGCTTTCAGTGAAGAAACTTTTAATGTCAGCAATCCAGTTTTCCTTAATACAACTGAGACGTAGATATCTCTTACAAAGTACCTGTAAGTTTTCTTTTTTAAAAAAACTCTTATTCAGCCAGTTGATCGTTAGTGAAACAACATACTGAATTTGAATCAATAAATCTATTAAAATACCTCAGTAGAATGACCTTCTGCAAAAACATTTGGCATACAAAAATTATGGGAAAATATTTTGAATTGATACTGTTACTTTTTTTTTTTTTCCCCTCCTAAAATTTTTCCTTTTTTTTTTTTTCCCCTTTCCCTAATATTTTACCTTTTGTTTTGTTTTGGTTAAGAATATGGTTGTGTTTGATGCAATGTTTGTGCAAATAGAAAAGGGTATACAAATATACAAACACGGTAACAGTAGTATACAGGTACAGAAAATAGTAGCAACTTTGAACATAGGATCCTTTACCCATTACCTTGCAATATAGTTGCACAGACAGATGTTATTTTAATATATATTGAAATTCTTATATACAGATCCTGTGTTTCCTGACAATTTGGTTTTGCTTTAAAGACAAAACCAAAATGCAGTTCAGTGCTGGAACAGGCTGCCCAGAGAGTTTGTGGATGCCCCATCCCTGGAGGTGTTCAAGGCCACATTGGATGGGGCCCTGGGCAGCCTGGTCTAGTATTAGATATGGAGGTTGATGGCCCTACCTTCAGTAGGGGAGCTTGGTGATCCTTGCTATCCCTTCCAACCCAAGCCATTCTGTGATTCTGTGATTCTGTGATATTGTGATTACTCTTCCACTTGACAAGAGTTATCCACATTGGCTGTAGGATCTTCTGACTGTTATCTGTGCCCTACAGTGGTTGCCACAGGGAAATGCACACCTCTGTTCCTTCTACCACTACCATTTCTTGCAGCTTTCCTGTATTTCTGGTATAATTCGCAGCTTTGGGGTGACCCTGCAACTGTGCTGAACGGGAACATTTTTTTCTCTGTATTTCAGTTATTTGTCATCTTGGTACACAAGTACCATACCTCATAGTTCAAAATCTAGCAGCCCTTCCAATTACTCTTCGGTGGTTTCTGATAGAATCTTATTGATATTAAGGAGAGCATTTTCCTGGTCAGCACTCCAGGACCAACAAAACATGAGGAGAAGAGTTTAGTGCATGATAACGTAGAATACATTTGAACTTTCTGTAAAGAAAAAGGACCCGGTTGAGACCACCCTTGCAATTTTCTTGTCTTTCTAATGAAAAAAATAGCAACACAGGTTGAGTGCTCTTACAATTGTAGAATACTTTAAACTTGAACTTTAAAAACACATGTCAATGTGGTGTATTTATCAGTGGTCTTTTAAATAAAATCTATAGTACAATGGAGAGGAGAACTAAATATCAGACTTTTTTTTCACCTTTATTTTAATCAGACCTTTCTTTTTAAAACTGAAAGAATAACAACTTGATGAAACTAAGGGTACTGAGCTGGTCATACAGAAAAGAAGGAAAGCAAGTTATTTCTCCTCAGCAGCACAGTAGGAAATGTGCAACTGTTGAGTTTCAATTCATATGTTTACATCTCTACATACTTACAGTGGAAAATTAGATTAGAGCCCAAGAATATATTCTTTCTCAAACAGAAATAAGATGTGTTTTATCAAGGGAACAACAAGAAAAAAAAATCTCAAAGCACAAGGCACCGGTTCTACATCAGAAATGTTATTCTGAATGCTCTGAACTCCACATATAAATTTTCTTCTTTGCTTTGTTCCAGAGATTGAAGGCAGCACTGACTCATCACCCTGCCGCCATGTCGAACGGGAATATGAACACCATGGGCCACATGATGGAAATGATGAGCTCGCGGCAGGACCAGGCGCCACACCATCATATGCACTCACATCCTCATCAACACCAGACACTGCCACCTCACCACTCCTACCCCCACCAGCACCAGCACCCAGCGCACCATCCTCATCCTCAGCCTCATCACCAGCAGAATCACCCCCACCACCACTCCCACTCGCACCTTCACGCGCACCCAGCACATCACCAGACCTCGCCGCACCCACCGCTGCATTCGGGCGGACAAGCACAGGTAGACCCTGATGCCATGTGCATCTCTGAGTTTTGCTGTTATGTGGAGTAAAAGTCTCATGCCTGTGTTGCATCTCGCCCTCCAGCTACTTAAAAATGCTGGCTACTGGTGGCAGGGAAGCATAGACTTTACGGAGAAAATCGTATGAATCAACAACTTATTTTTCTGCTTAATATTCTTGGCACTTGTAATGTCTTACTTAATAAGGAACTCCAAGTTTTTTTCCTACTCTGATCTCTGCACATTGCCGCATTATTCTTTTATGGACAAAGTATATTATGAATCTATGTTCTGCACTGTATGTTGTGCTTGACTTCTCAGGCCAAGATTTAAAGAGTTACATGCATTCTGTGTACAGAAATAGATAGCACAATCTTTAGTGAAGTAAAATGGCCACACATACGCATACTCAAAGTAAGGAATTTATGTATGTGTGTATGCACAATACGTAAAGAAACAACCTCACTGAACTCAATGGTGTATTTATTTCTTGTCTATATTGCAGATAGTAGAGATAGATAGTTTTAAGGTACACTGGCTTAGAGGAAGAGATAAAGGATTTCAGACCTTGTGAAGGGGATTGCAGCTCCTAGGTGTGGTGAATGATTAGGTAACAGCGTGGGCAATAGTGGGCCTAAAGTCATGTCAGGATAAAGAGACAATGAAGCCAGTTCAAGGAGAGAGATTTAAACTAGGAAAGGAGTTCTAAACTGGATTCAGATGATGTTAAAGGTGTGCAGGTGGGTAGTACATACAATGAGGACAATAAGCCAGACGTAAGAATTTAGATCTGTGAAGTATTGCATTGCTTGCAAATACCTTTCAGACAAGCTCTTAGAAAACATTAAAGAAAATGAGAAGATTTGGCTGACATCCCAGCCTCCCACAACATTAACTATTTACTAACATCCAGCTTTATTATTGCAGAGACTGCAAGCACATGGCATTTCCCCAAAGCATTTGCTAATGTAAAATGAATTGTCAGCTTTAGAGAAACAGTCTAAATAAGAGATCAGCAGACTCCCCTGTGAGAAGATGTCCAGAGCTTTCCTTAGTTTAGTTCAGTTTTTACTTTGTGAATTCAATTATTTTCCCATCTGTTAATGAGTTATTTTCCTTGGAGTTGTTTAAAAACTCCAATAAAGAGACGTTATCTCATACCATAGAAACCAAAAGTAAGCGAATGGCTCTCTAGGGTATCCATAAGAGAGTAAACACTCCATGCATCAGATAAAGGCAACAGGTGAAATCTCACAGATTTAAGGATAAGGCACCAGCCAACAAGCCAATGTGTTAGCTGCTTTTCCTTCTGTGCTGCTGAAGCCATTTTTGAGTCATTCTGATTGGAACAGCCTAGATTCCTTATGGTTTGCTTTCCCTGTTAGCTGGGTACTCCTTGCAGTCAAGCACTGGGGCACGCAGGCCGACTGGCAGCAACAAAGCTGTGTCAGATGTGTCTCAGCACCTCTGAGTCTCTGGAGCGGGGTCTTTGTGGTAACGTGAGCTTTGCAGGGAACACAGTGTCAATGAAGGCAATGGGCCCCAGCAGGGACCAAGTAGGTCTTCGCCTTGACCAGAGGTGTAAATGTCACCCAGAGGTTGTGGATGGAGGCAATGGCTGATGGATCTGAGTAGGACTCCTGGGACCATCTGCTTCCCCAGACAGCAGAGCTTTTGCTGCTTGCCTGTTCTCGTGGTGCAAAGACAAGAGTGATTTCTGAATACACACATGGGGAGAAAATAAGACTTTGCTGAGTAATAAACATAATTATTACTTACTAAGCTCATCTGTAGTCTCCATGGTATTGGCCTCTTTGGAGATCAGATTGCTCCAGCAGATGTTGATTTTATGGTGAATTTTACTACTTCTCAACCTCCTTATTCTTCTGAGACAGACTCTTTGGTTCTAAGCCACCCGCCAAGCAGCCCATGTTGATGTGGGCCATGTGTTCCAATGACATAAATTCTGTTATTTCACCCCACACTGTCCTGTAATGTCAGCATTCATATCACACTTTTCACCTACCACTTTGACCCAGAGGAGCCCAATGAGCTAAGTTTTGCCAGGATGAATGGATGGGTATTAATTTTGTAGTATGGTGCAAAGAGTGGAGATGAGCATTAGATCAAGGCTGAGTATAATCTTCTAACATATATATTTCTGAGAAAGAGATATTTTACCAAGCTGTAACTGTATTGCTTCAGCTAGTGCAAAAATTGAGACTATTACTGCCATTTTGGTCACATTAACACCTTTTCATATCAAACTTACCAGAGAGATAGCTGAGGTAGAGCAGAGTTGGGGATGTTTCATTTTATTACCTGTCCTACATTTGTCTTGACTATGAATATCTGGTAGGCATTTAATAAAAGATAACATTAACATTAATTTAATATATTTATATTAATGTATTAATGATATGTTAATATTGATATTTAATATATATTTTCTTTCTTACTAGAGTGTGTTTGTCCATAGGCAGGGTGGGGACGTCCTGTTAGAGAATGATGCTTAGACAGTTACTAAGATGTATTCTAACAGATTGCAGGGCCTCAGAGGTTGGAGGGCAGCTGGTATCCCTCGTTGGCCATCTCCTATGGCAGAGATGGTGGCTGTAGCACATGGACAACCCCCTGTTGAGCAGAGGACTGGAAGCTTAAATTGCAAATGGGAGGACTTCACAAAAGCTAAAATTTTAAGAATAAGGCAGAAGGTGCAAGGTGGCTTATTTAGTTTTAGAAGTTTGTTTGTTTAGTTTTTTTTTTTTTTTTCCTGCTCCTACAGAAGGGAAATTACCTGTCTGCACAACAGAAAATTGAGAGTAAATTTGGCTTTATGTGAAAAGAATTATCAGATGCACAGTATAATTATATGTAAAATTGCCACTCTAACTGACACAAGTCAGCTGGGAAAAGGAGCAAGTTCTTCTTCAAACTTTGTGGTGAGATTCTAGACAGAAAAGCAACCTTGCAAGATGATAGTATCATTTTAATTGAGACAGACAGATGTGTTAAGCAAACAAATGTTAATTAGTGCAGTTGAAATTTAGGACGCAATCTGACAAAGCTCAGAGTATGTCCACTTACTAAGCCAAAAGGAAGCACCTTGGAGGTTTGGGCCTTTGCTAGAAGAGCAAGGTTAATTTTGAGTCAACAATTGAGGTTTCTGGACTCTTCCAGACTCCACTGGTGTAGGAATAGCAGGAGTAGCACAGATGTCTCCAGCTGTGCTACAGCAGTTAGGTCCAAACCCCAAGAAAAACCCAAAGCACAAGGGCCTGGGCACCATGGTGAGGCAGGAAAGCAGTCGGAGAGCTTGTTATTCCCAGGCAGCGCCTATTGCCTTTAGAAACACTGAACATGAAGTCTGATACTCATTCCTCACCACTACATAGGCGAGCATTTCATCCAGAAAAGTCAGAGCACAGTCTGGTGGCAGCTGGCTCCATCACAAGCTTCCTCTGAAAGGGCATAGACAAATTACTTTCAGGAGCAAGACTGATATTCTCCTTCAATTGAAAAGGTATTAATATGTGGTTTTCCATATTTTCATAGCAGAGGGGTTGTAAGTGGTTTTCATAATTGCTGTCAAATAACCATAAAAAGGAGTATAGCATGTGTTCAAGAAACATTTAGATGTTGTACTGAGGGACATGGTATAGTGGGAAATATGGGTGATAGGTGGACAGTTGGAGTGGATGATCTTAGAGGTCTTTTCCAACCTTGGTGATTCTGTGATCAAAAAGAGGACAAATAAAAATGCCTGAGGAGGAAACAGCAGTACCTCCATGGGATACCAGCCTTCCTTCAAAATCCACATGTGTGTGAACACCTAAATCCTTTATTTCAACTACATCTCATGGGCATTGAGGTCTCCTGGCTCACCACCCTTGCCATAGCTTCCCCGGTGCACTCAGATAGCAGAGCACTTGTATTTCCTGTCTTTAGAGGCTATGAGATACTGAGCAGAGGTCGAAGAGCATGTGTAAAAGAAAAGTCCCAAAATTTCAGAAGCAATTACCAAGGAAACAAGAAGAAAGGAGAGACAGAAATAAGGCCTCTACAGTCTTCTACTTTGATTAAAAGGGTTGCTGAGAGAAACTTGACATTTCAGCTTTGAAATAGATGGTGGCAGAGAAAGTACCTTAGTGAAAGTTTATAATGACTAGCTGTAAGGGAAAAATATTTTTCCTACTAATATTCAGAGAATCATTTCAAAAAAATCTCCCCTTCAACCAATGCAGCCCTTTGCCAGCAGCTAACATTAGAAGCATCTGGCAGTGTCTTTCAACGCGTGCCTCTCCAACCGGGCGACTGTGGGAGATGCTCCCCATTCCTCAGCCTCATTCCCTCTTCCTTTCCCCCACCCATTGCCTTATCAACCCTCTACTTAACAGGTTTCACCAGCCGCACAGCAAATGCAGCCCACGCAGACGATACAGCCGCCACAGCCCACTGGAGGCCGCCGGAGAAGGGTGGTGGATGAAGACCCTGATGAGAGGAGGAGGAAATTTCTGGAGAGGAACAGAGCCGCTGCCACACGCTGCAGACAGAAGAGGAAGGTCTGGGTGATGTCACTGGAAAAGAAAGCAGAAGAACTCACCCAGACAAACATGCAGCTTCAGGTGCGAGCCACTGTCTATGCCCCCAAGGACACAGAGGCCCTCTTTGTGCTTGCTGCTGCCCCGGCACTACCGCTGCTGCGTGGGAGCGCGGCACTATCAAAGGCGGTTAGTTGAGGTGTCTGTGCTCCAATTAGAGGAATAATTTCATTTTGGCAGGATAAGCCAGGAAAAAGCTGTCTTGGGATTAGAAGCCTTCACTAGACAGAGCTGTATTTATTTTCTTTTCTTGTCACTGTTTTGTTTTTTAAGTGCCATTACCTTGGCTATAAAGCATTTCTTCAGAGCAGGGCACGTAGCTAAGCCCTAACTCTAAGCCAGTGAGATGGGAGCATAAATCGAAGGGAAGAGAATGAATATAAATTTGAGATTAAAAGCACAGGAATGGTGTCCTTCTTACAGTGTGCACAGAAGTTAGTTTGTGTGTCAGCTTATGGCATCAAATCTGGGAGTCAAGTTGCCCTCAAAAGGAGTTTGTTATAAAATAATGTCAAGGACATTCTTCCCAAGTTGTGGATCATTTTTTGTTTTCTTCGATCTCAACTTTGTATAACAGTGCATTTTATGATGTGTGGCAAACCAAACTCTCTATTTCTCTTCTAGAATGAGGTCTCCATGCTGAAAAATGAGGTAGCACAGCTGAAACAGTTGTTGTTAACGCATAAAGACTGTCCGATAACAGCCATGCAGAAAGAATCACAAGGATATCTAAGTAAGTAGCTAGTATGCTTACTCTGTCTCCACATCACCCACAGGAAAACACAGTTTCTAGTTCTTCCCTCCAGAATCCCTTGGCCATATTACAACATGAACCTCTCTTCTCAAACATCATCCAAGCCGTCCCATCTCCTGCCCCTATTTATCCAGCCCTGCTTAAAATCCAAAAAGCCACAGTTTGCACCCAGCCCAGCACTGCTGGTCCCTCCCTGTCCCTCCACCCCACAAGGCGATGCGCACGGATGGATGCTGGCTCCCATGTGGAGGATCCCTGTGGAACTCAGAGCTCCAGACCTGCAAGAGTCCTCCTGGGCACAGCGCTGCCAGCACAGTAACATAACTCTCCAAAGGGAAGTTATAAAGGAAAGCATTACAGCCCCCTCCAGCGAAAACGGTACTGTGCTCTGACTGTGGCACAGACCAAGCGCGGAGCAGGCTTTCAAGGTTTGTTCTTTTTAACTCTTATCTTGCCTTTTTCTTCTTTTTTAAATCACATCTGAGGCCAGCATTGAATCAATTCTGTCTAGTTGATGCATTTTACAAGTACAGTAATTTATGGACAAATTCTTTGCTTGGCTCTAGAGTGGCTCAGAAGAGCCTCTGGGTTAATATTTGCTAGATTGCGGCCTTCTCTTAAAATAGAGCCCATTTCTGTCTTGTCCGCATCACTATGCATCTGTCTCTTTAACAATACTCAAATTAAAAATACATAATTGCATTACATGCCTGTCAACTGTTGCTTGAATTAGATTTTCTGTGATGCAGTGCACTACACTGTAATTCTGATTTCTGCTGGAGCGAATAGAGAATTCAGGCTTTATAAACCTTAAGATACTGGACGTTTTGTACTACGTGTTGGTTTCATAGCCATTAAGGTTTTGGTGTTTTTTCAAGGTGCTGGCTCCTACCATTGCGTTACCATTAGATGACTGAATGTGCGCTCTGTCCCCCATCCTTTTCTAGGTCCTGAGAGCAGTCCTCCTGCGAGCCCGGTCCCAGCATGCTCCCAGCAGCAAGTCATCCAGCACAACACCATCACCACCTCCTCCTCCGTCAGCGACGTTGTGGGCAGCTCCACTCTCACGCAGCTTGCCAGCCACAGAACAGACATCAACCCCATCCTTTAAAACGGGTTGATCAGAAACTGCTAGGGGAAAGTAGTAGCATATCAAAACATCCTCTGTGCTAAGGACATTTTTGACCGTAACTCAAGCCTGGAAGATTCCTCAGTTCTTGAAAGACTCTGGCTTTCATTTTTATAGTTATTAAAATGTCTTTTATACTTAGTTACATAAAAGGGAGTTATGCAATTAATATGCTATCAGCTTGAGAAATGCTTTGGTGCTTTCTCCAGTTTTTTTGGTACCAGTTACTTGTTTATAAACCTAACTGTCTCTGTACATAGTCACATTTTCTTCTCACCAATCTAGCCTGAAGCCTCAGAAATACGGAGTTGTGTTAAACTGCAGCTTGTTAGCCAATGTGAGGCATGAAAAGTATTAAACAGAGTCATATGTAGGTAACTAGGAGTAATTAGGCTATAAATATAGAGAGAGGGCATCTGCTGACAGCATCATAAAATATGAGTTAGAATTGTGCTATCACCAGAACCTCGTCTTTCAACACGGTTACACAGTGTGTGGCTATCGGAACAAACCCAAACCCCAGTAAAGTGCCCTTTTGCCCAGCCATCCTCTTCCAGCTCTCTCCCACCCTGTCCTTTTTGTCCTTCAGTTGTTCTCACAACTCACTTCTCCCTTCCCTAGCCCTCTGCCCTTCTCTTAGCCAGGCTTCCCTCTCCTCCTCCCCCTCTCAGAGAACAGCGATAAACAAGTAAAAACTTCAAGCCTACCTAAAAACTGCCAGCACGGCTGCTGCTTTCACTAGCTCTTCACCCACAGCTGGGCTGCACCGAGCTTTTCTGTTTTGAAAAATAGAAATGCTCCTGATTTAGTGCTTTTAATAAACAGGGAAAGGCAAAAGCAGTGCAGTTGCAGGTGAAGCAAGATTGAAAGCCAGCTGTGTTGATGCTAGCAGCCGTGTAAGCTGTTGGGGTAAATGGCTGTGGCACAGTGCAGGCATAGCGAGTAACACCTGAGAATTACAGCAATTCTTTAGCGCTGCCAGTCGTTAACACAGCAAATCCATGTAGTATATAATTCAGAAAAGTTCTGTTCCCTAACCTGCTTACATTGTTCTAGCACTGAAAGCTAACAGCCTCAGATTTCACAGGCTATAAATGAAAAATAAATCAGCGTAACCATTCTGACCAGTTGGAAAAATGCCACTTTTAATTACCAAGGCAAGTCCTGGTCTCTGCAGGCATCCCCTTGGATGTACATGGACTGGCTTTGAGCTGGCAGACATCAGTGGAGCTTCGCTGACCATAATGGCACTTACTCCAGTTTACAGCGAGTAAGAAATTGTCTCATAATGACATTAAAAAAAGTTTTATCGAGTGTGCAGCCACTAAAAAGTGCTGCAAGAAAGGCAAATTCCACTGCACTCACTGGATAAAATTCAGTCCTGTAAAGAGGGTCTGTAAAGGGGCTTTATGCCACAATTAAGGGTTTTGTTTGGACTATGTGCCTGCCCCTCAGCACCACGGATTTGCATCCCAGAGTAGTAGCAGTGATTGATGGGGAAATCAGAGGGAGATGATGCCAGTTAATTATGCTTGCCTTTCAGTATCCTGGGACCCGGTTTTGCTCTCAAGGCTGGCAGTGGTGACACCTCCTTCGTCTGCCCCAGGGAGCAGGACTGGGCTCTGAATTGGTGATGAACTTTCAGACATTTCAAACTGCATCTTTAATAGCAAAAGATAATTCATGCTATTCCTAGCAAACACTCCAGCCCAAAATACGCTTCATTTTGAAGTGAGGTTCTTGTCCTCAGCTGCTGCTTCTTGGTTGTGAGAGGAGTCACAGGTTTTAGTAGGGTGACTCTTGTCAGAGCAGGAAAGAGTTAAGCGAGTGCAGTGAGAGGCGCTGTCAGGAGCAGGGCCCTTTTGGAAGGAAAAGCAAAGTTCTGAGGATTGTTTCTGAATTAGTTCTTATCTTGGTAACTTTTACAGTATTCTTGAACAGCTCTCTTTCCATTTATGCAAATACATTCAAAAAAAGATTTTTAATGTACAGTGTAAATCTTGACTTGATTATATAGTCTAAGAACCAAAAAAAAAATTAAGAAAAAATACAAATGTAAAGGATTTTCTATTATATTTTAGACAAACATATACTTTTAAAGTGTTTTAAATACTGAATCTATAATTTTTTTTTTTAATCTCTGGTTGTAATAGCTAAGTGGTTTTGCTTCATCATGGCTCCCAAAGGAAATTCTTTCAAATATGCAGTCGAGCAAAATGTTCCATCTGAATATCCACGATGTGAAAGACAAAACAAGCCTTTCCCCTGTGTCTGAATGTCATCCTTCACTGTGAAAAATAAAATGCCATCACAGGGTTAATTTGCAAACTTTCCCTCTATATGGGTAGCACTTAAATATGTTAAAAAAGTAAAAATCTAAGTAGTTGATAACATTAGGATACCCAGTTGAGCTGCACTGCACTAGAATTACAGTTTAGCTTCATTTTGTTCAGTCTCCTCAATTAAAATATTTAGCTGTTAAACTGAAAGCCTCTACTTTAAAAAGGGGGAAAAAAAAAAAAAAAAAAAGGAAAAAAAATACAAAAACCTTGCCTAAGTTTTGTTAAATTCAGCAACTTGACAGTTTGACTGATGTGTATTATATATAGCTCAATTATTTCTTTTTTTAATGCTAACTAGGCAAGCCAACCGCACATGTTGGCCTAAATGTGTAATTACAATGAAATGTCTCCTCTCTATACTATTGGCCTTTAGGTATAATCATTGCTAGTGATGTGGAAATCAGTAAAGGATGAAAAGCTATTTGCTATTGCTTCTTGTAACTCTGTCACAGGTTCACAGGCCAAGCCAACACACAGCATATTTGTATCAGCTCTATTAGTGAAAGGACCAACTGTGCCAGGCACCTTATATCGCTCATCATTTTCACTTCCACCTTACAGCACTCTTGTTTTGCAGGGCAGGGACCCTGCAGCCTTTCCCCAGGCCTTTGGCCGGCTGTGTGCTGGGGCAGCCTGAGGAAGGACTACAGGACAGACCCTGCCCCTCCACCCCACCGCAGCCTTCCTCTCAGCACATCGTCACCGCACTCCCCATGCTCTTTCGTTTGAGGAGAAACCCTGCTTTTCCACCAGCTGCTGCTGGAGTCTGATGTGCTTTTCTCCTTCCTCTCAAGCCCAGCCAGTTGGCAGACTCTGGGCCCCGTCCCACCGCGAGGGACTTGGTGGGGAGCTCCCCTGCTCAGCTTTGCTCGGCACAGGCTTCCTTTGCCGGGAAGAAGCCTGCTCACCTCAAAGCTATTTCTGGGGATGACATTTCTTGTTGCGTGACAGCGGAAGTACGTTGGAAATCTCAGCCACGGACAATTGCAATACTTTTATCAGAAAGAAACTATGCTGTGATCTAGTTCCTTCTCTCCCGGCCCCTTCCCTGGGTAACTTATGCAAGCCATATTCATGACACTGCCTGTGGGAGACAAGTAGTTTGTGTGCTATCATGGTGTGTTTTATAAGGACGATGAGGATGATTTATGGAGAATTTTGTGCTGTTTGGAGTTAATTCCTGCTACGAAGCTAAATGTATGCTGCCCATGTTCTGAATAGTGGAAAGTCAATGGTTCAGTGCCTCGGTGCGTGTGGATTTTGTGTGTTAACTGACTCCGTCCTATTAACTAACAAGCCAGCTGTAAGTGTTGTTAAATGCCCAACTTTTGAGAATTCATATTTTTTTAAGCGACAATATTTAGCGTTTAAAGGTAGCCTTTTAGTTTAGGCAAAATGTGCTTTTTAGCAGCTAATACCTTTTTTTTAAAAAAAGAAAAAAGCATATAGAGTGAATTTATGAAAACTCATGAGGACCAAAGCAATTTTAAAACAGGAATCTATTAATTTAGTATTCACATAGAATTTTATAAAGTATTTATTAATAAATGTTATTTTAACACATTCCATTTGAACAGTATTCTTGTACAGAATCTGTTTGGTTTTGTTTTTATTTTTTTTTTCTTTAAAGTTACAATATTAGTTTTGCAATAAAGTGCTCTAGGTGTGTGTGCATCTTAATCTTTCAGGGTCTCAAGCAGAAGACGTCCATCTAAGATGGAAAAATTTGCTGAGGTCATTTGTACAGAAATTCCTAGAATTAAATGTTTTCCTTAAAGCAGCATCTGCTTTTTTTTTTTTTTTTTTTTTTTTTTTATAATAACAGCAAAGCAAATTACAAACCTTCAGTTGTTTCCTTTGTGTTGGGAAATATGCTCTCTTGTTTTAGAAAGCATGGGTCAACATATAACTGGAAAGCCTGCCTTTTATTTTCTCTCTTTTTTTTTTTAAAGACTGATTATGCCATGGAAGATCTAACACCATTCTTGTTTCTCTTCTAATATCACATAGTGAGTTGCACTATACTGCCTTATCATTGCTCCTTCTGTCCTCTTACTGAGCAGCGTTCCTTAAATGCAGACCATTGAAACTCCATTATGCATCAGATAAAGTTACCGAAGGGGGAAGAAGAAAAAAAGATTGATCTGTAGACATGAAAACTAAACTGTGCCTATAAAACAAAACCAGTTCCAACTAATTAGTTCCTTATTTCTACGTTTCAATTATTTATATTATTTTAAAATTGCACTTTAGCTCTCGCTCTCTTGCTCTCCCTTGTTAAGTCATTTATAATTCTCTTGTAAGATGTTTGCACCAGATACATTTATATGCTTTCACTGGTGGCATATCTACAACTTGTCTCTCACACCTGCCCGAATGGAGAAGCTGAAAACAACCAAGTCTGCAGTGTGACTTAGACTTTACACCCTCTTCATGATAGCATATAAATGTTTAATTATGCAAAGTGTGTGAGGCAGCATCTAAGCTACGTTTTTAATCTCTCATCCTGAGAACCAAAGTGTCCTGTGCGTAATAGCGTAAGGTCAGGAGACTGGCTCTGTGGTGCATGATAATGCACTTTGACTGTTGTCCAACCCACGGCAGCTGTGACGCTGCAGTGATAACAGTGGCCATACTGTGTATTAAAAGTCAAAATCAATAAAATATGTTGCCTTATAACTTGACTAGGGACAGCACCTTTAAAAAAAAAAACCTAACGAAAGAGACTAAAAACTTCTAAGGACAAATAAAGCAATAAAATCTTAAGCGATCTAAACACCAAAAAAAAAGAAAGTCATTCATTTTTTCATCATCTGAAGTCATAGTCTTATTGCAAAGACTGTTTATATCAGTAATGTTTTTTCAGAGCTTACAGTTATCTGTTTTATCAGTGGCTTTACATATAAAGCTAAATTGCTTACTGTTGTTGGTTTTATATAGCTTTCAAAACTACTTTATAGCAAATCTTGAAACTCTGTGAGGCCAAAAATGTCAGTGTTTGCATACACTCACAATAAGATTGATTCACTAAGTGGAAATCTGATCCTTTCCCAGGCTCTCCTTGGACTGGAATCAATAATTGCAACTTGCTATATTTAGGCTGATGTGAAATACCTGGTATTCAGGATCTCCAGTTCTATATTTATGCAAATGAAGTGTTACTTATGCTAAGTTGCCCTGGGTGGAACTTTTCCTGACCCTCCCCCCAAAACAGCGTGCCAGCTTATGTTGCAAGACCATGAGACCCAAATCTCTTTTTGGCTAAAATATATGCAGCAGTTTTCTGAATGAAGACTGCAAGCTCATTCTGCCTTTACAGCGATTGTAGCAGAGTCAGGAAAGAAGGGATGGGGGGCTGATAGTGTATCTGAAGGGAAATGTTTTCCTTGCTGTATTCTAGGAAATTCCAGAGAATTTCTTCCCCCTCACCCATAGGAGCTGGGGTTGCAAAGATATCAGAGGCAGCCTTTACCATGCTTCCAAAACATTTTGCATGCAAGGTGTGCTCACTCTTCTGAGTAACTGGCACCGAGGGCTTTGCCAACAGCTTTATAATCTGAATCCAGTGTTTCCCAGCCCATGTTGGTGAGCTCTGTACTTTTCTCTGTAACAGCTCAATTTAAACACTGGGTAGCAATCATCCGTGAAAGTCACTTCTTTGGAATATTGTCATTGTCTTGGTTTTAAGGAACTTTTAGCACTGCTTGGAGTAAGCCTAAACTATCGAAGTTTATATATAAATATATATATATTATATTAAAAAAGGTGCTGTCACAGTAAGTTTTGGGCTTGAGGTTGTTTGTATTGTATGCAAAGGTTTTATGTTTGTTTGTCTGTTTTATTCTGTAAAGCAACCACCTTCCTTACCGGAGGGAGATAATTTTTTTTTTTTGGTACATAAGTGTAAATACCTGCTGCAGCATTTAATATGTTTAATTTTATGTTAAGCTTTTTGTTGCATTGTGAACCCATTATTGTTGCAAATGGACAATGAGTTCATTGAGACTGTTCAACTAGGTCAGATTTTTACATCTCTTTCTAGCTAGAAGAGACAGGATTTTTGTGCATTTGTACAAATGTTAATAATATCACTGCAATTCCAATATAATAAAGCACTCAAATACAAATATTTCCAGTAGTTTGGCTGTGTCTGTAGCCCAGACATTTTATGATACAGATAACTCCTGCAAGTTAACCATTCTGCTCGTCCATTGTTTCTATTCTTAAACAGATCTGGTGGCTCATGCCTTCTTTGTACTTGCCTGACCATGCGAAATCTCTGATCTTCCCCAAAACTATTGCAGGATTGGGGTGCAGGGCAGCACCCATGTGGCTGCAGGAGCAAGGCCACCCTGCTGACCACACTGCACAGGGCCACCATGTGTTTACTAGAAGACCTGGGGCCTTGCAGGAGCAAGGTCTCTGAAGGTTTTCCAAGTGCAGAGGCTGCAAAGCCTCAAACAAATAGATTGATGTGGTAGAGCCTAACATAAGGCCTCCGCATAAGGAAGAAACAAGCTGTTATTTTACTTTTCCTTG